GATGAGAAGAAGTACTGTGGCTTCATTCTTATATTCATAGAAAAATATATTAAAGGTTGTACTATCAAATACTTTATCTGAATTTTAGTATTTAAAGTTAATAACAATATGACGGGAATCACTGGGTATAAATGTTACTGCACCTTTAGCTGGGTGCTGGTGAGCCGCAGGAAGTCCACATTGCTGCTGGACTTGAGATGCTCCACTTCCAGGTTTTCCAGGGTTCGCACGCCCCTGCGATGCAGCTGAATCAGGTCATACATGCAATTTAGGACAGCTACAACATTTATCTCTGAGCTGCCAGCAGACGCCATCCAAAGTGGTGGGAGGCCAAGAGATGACATCTCCTGTAAAGGCGAGAGTATATAAAAAAAAAGACAAGGATAGAAAGTTAGCTACCAATTATCATTTCAGTGTAGATTTGAACTCTTCATTTCTCTACATACATTATAATATATTATTTAAACACAAACATTACAGGAAAACAGGAAACAAGCTTTTTCTTCAAGTTTTTATGGATTATTTTGATGATATTTCTACAACATGATTAATAGTCTCCGACCATAATCAAACCAAGGAGACTGCTGCCATATTGGACAAGGCAAAAGCATTTACAAACCATTTACTGTAATAATACTAGAAATAATAAACATATAATACCAACCTGATTGATGTGCGATAGACATGCTTGCACATTGTGCTCCGTGCAGAAGGTACTGAGGACGTAGTTTCTGTGCAGTGGCAGCGATGATTGGCTAAACTGCCTCAAGGGGGATGTTCTACATTCAGCAGAGCTGCAGCGAATGTCCTTGACTTCAGAGAAAAAGTAATGTGTCAAATATATACAGTACATAGGCCTGGGCTAATTTAGCAATACTTAACAAGAAGCATGAAATGTTATTCTTGGCACAGTATTCCACTGTGATCGGTCTGTTTACCTGTTCCTTATTCATACAGTTTAATACAGAGCACAAGGCAGCTACTGAGGGCAGAGGACTAGAGTACCATGATTCAATTAATCTGACTAATGAGGATGCTAACATCAAACAAAAGTTGTATTGCTCCTCTTTCTCAGCACAAAGACGACTGTTCAACGTGTCATTCGTGGTGCAGAGTATGCAGTGGTGTTGTGAGATGTGAGAAAACTCACCCGATGAGGACTCTGGCATTGTTGCGGTGCAGCCTTCAGGCTATACGTGGATCATCTACTGCATGTGTCAGATAAAACAAAGCTCAACACAAGATCCACCTGCGCAGACTGCTCCTGAAATAGAAGGTCAGATTAGCAGAGCCCATTGAACACAGCCTGGATTACAAAGGCAAAGGAAGTGAAGAGGGATGGAAACACCCAGCAATCTAAACAACAGCATGTGAGAACTACTGCTCCTTGAGGGCTAATTGATTCAACTATCGCAGAAAATGGACCGAACAGAGAGAAACTGAGCATTTACTTCGAGAATCATCAACAAAGCTTATTATTATTGATATTTTGAGGCTTTCGCTGTTGTTGTGGATGTTGTATTACACCATTGTTCCTTCAGGTTACATGCAGGGACCAGGCCAGCATCTTATCTCAAAGCTCTTATCATCCAGCAGATCAGACTAATCCCAGGCAGACAGTATGGTGATTTGTCTGAGAAGCCGCACAATCAGCAACACAACACAAAACTTTTTCCTTGTGTAGGAAAAATACCGAATATATATAAAACTGCAGTGCACAGTGTTCACATCCAAAACCTAAACGTTAGCATTTTTTACTAAATCAAAACTTCATCACAGGATAGATATTGTCAAGGCATTTTTAATATAAACATTTTTTTTTTAATTGACATTTGTTAACTTTATTTTTCATACATTCCTTCTGGGGGTATGCACCTTTTTCATTTCAGTGGTATTTTATCAGTCTGGTGGGACAGATGGCAAACCTACAACCACAAAGCTTACACCAAGCCTGGATCAGCTAAGGCTGACCACTCAGCATGCGTTAACCTTTAACTCAGTAGTCAGACTTCATTACAGTAATCTTATAAATTATCAAAAGATGAATTTTCAGAGTAAGTGTCTGCAGAATCGATCTTTAGGTTTGTGGTTCCTCTGAGATAAAGCACTTAATGGCTCACTTAATGAGATAAAGCACTAGGCCAACTATGTATTAAATGAAATACACCCTGTCTTTGAAATCAATATAATAATAACAATCATAATCATAATAAAAAATAATATGCTTTACAAGTAACAAAGTTAACAAAGATGCAACGTGCTGAACAGGATGTAACAAATGTAATTCAATAATTCAATAACTTTAATTAAATTTATTTAAAACCCTCAGAAGAGGAAACGAAAGCTAATGGGTGTCACAACATTTTAGCTTAATATAAACTGTAAACTAATAATAATAATAAACAAATAATAAACAAATAATAATAATACGCTTGATTTGTAACAAAGTTAACAAAGTTGCCAAGTGCTTCACAAGAAGATACAACAACAACAAAATTTAAAAAAAGCATAATAACAGGTCAAAACGTTGTTTTTCTTTAATCAAATAAATTATTCCTATTCAAAAATGTAAAGCTTGTGTAAAGAGTATATTTCCCTTATAACAGCCTGTCACTAGTGTGGCTCGTGTTACAGTCGCTGGTAAACAACATGTGAAGTTAAACTAATCTCATGCATTGACCTCACACTGGTCAAATCCAACTTTATTAACAACACCGGAAGGTGAAGCAGTCTCACGGCTGCAGTCAGTTGCAGGGACGTTAACCACGGTCACCTCACAACAAGGTGACTGTGAAGCCACGCGGCTGCTCACACAGGTGATCCAGTCACTGCAGCAGACATCCACACATCCACACATCCACACACTCAGCCCTGAGACACACATGAGAGACGCCTGTTCTCACCTGAGGCTGCGGTTTGTGTTGTTTCCTTCACACTCGGGAGAAGCTGCTCGAGCTCCACTACACCACACTGCACGCAGACCAGACAGCGCGCTGATTGGCCCAGTCGTTGTCTAGCAACCGAACACGGCTCGGTGTAATTGGCTGTTGTCTGCAGGCTGCTGTCAAGTGGTTTTAATCTGAGAGGCCGAGGGCCCAGTGGAGGAGGTCCGCATGTCAGGGTTGATATCAGCAGTGTGTGTGTTTGAAAAAGGAGTTTGGTGGTTGTGTGGTAAACTGTTCAATGATGGGACTTTTAAAAAATCCTCCTGGAGGCATCGGTTACAAACCTGGATGCTGATCAGACTAAAACTACCTTAAAGGTACAGTGTGTAGAATTTTGTGATATCTAGTGTTGATGTTGCATGTTGCAGCTGAACACCCCTCACCTCACCCTCTCCTTCCAAACATGAAAAAGAAACTGTGGTAGCTGTCATAAAAACTCAAAAGGTGTTTAGTTTGTTCAGTCTGGACTAATGTCTAAAACATGGCAGCCTCCGTAGAGAGGGTCCTCTCGATGTAAATATAAAGTATTTAAATATAAAGGAACTTTTCTGGGGTAAAGAAAACTACAATTCATACAATTTAGATGGAACGAACTAGCGAAAACATCATGAGGATTATTCTACATTAAATTTCTGCCAGTAGTTCCCTTTCACCTAAATCTTACACT